CCGTAAGGCACGCTCTGGCGCACACCGTAGCCGTGGCGCATGCCGTTGGTGAACTGGCCTTGGTAAGTCCCTGCGGGCGAAGAGAGGGCGAGAGGGCGAGTCAGTGGAGCGGCACGATGGGGCCCCTGCGAGTGCACAGTGGCCTGGGTGTGCCAGGGCCGGAGGGGCAAGGCCATCGGAGAGGCAAGGCCATCGGAGGGGCAAGGCATTCGAAGTCATGAAAACAGGCCAGGCTCTGAGGGTGTGAGGTTACACGCGTGTGCAAGAACATGAGCGGACAAGCCACAAGGAGTTGGTGCAATGGTATGAATAGTTTTATTGGTGAACATGACAAGGTCACACAGTGTGCGAGATAGAGTGAGGTTGGGAGAATAAGAGCGTCAATGTGCAAAGTTGTGTGAGCAGGTGAGGCCCTGGAGTGAGCTTACACAAATGTGCGAGAACACGAATGGGCAAGCCAGAAGGGGTTTGCATGGTGCGGATATTTCTGTTGGTGGGAACACGCCGAAGTTGTTAGTCTGCAAAATAGAGCAAGGTTGAGGTTAGCAGTCAATTTTAAGTGTGAAGTTGTATGAACAGGTGAGACTGTGTGTGTGAATTTAAATGTGTGCACAGATTTCAAATTACACACAAGAGAATGATGGTGCAAGAGTGAGTAGGCAAGACATTGGGTTTGTACAGTATTGTGAATATTTACACTTGTGGGGGTGTGCAAGGTAGCGGGAACATGAACAATCATGAATGTGCAAGGCAGTGCGTGCACAGGTGACCAAGATCACGTGCATCTGTCATAATGATGTAACATAAGCTTATGAGAGCATTCGAGGTCTTGAGTGCAAGGAAAGGCAAAGTTGAGTGAGTGTGCAAGACTGTTAGAGGGTCAGAGTGCAAAGTTGTGCAGCACGCAAGGCTCTGTCAGTGTGTGAGGTTAAATGTATGTACATGGTCATGGTAGTGTGCAAGGTGATGTGAATGTCAGTGTTCATGAATGAATATGATAATGAGTTGGCAGTCATGTGAATGTCAGAAAGCGTGTGACTGTTGGAGAGCATGGGAGAGCATGTATTTGTGCAAGGCTATGTAACTATAGGAGATCATAAGTGTGCAATGCAGTGTATCTACAGTGGGGTGAGTGCCCAAGGTTCTATGGAGGTGCCATTATGGGTGTGTGAGAGGTTCTGGGTGTCCAAGCCATCTGAGTACAAAGCACAATATGAGGAGATACTCTGGGATAAATGAGTATGTGAGGTTGTGGGCATTAGTGAAACTGAGACCATGTAAGACCATGAGGATGCAGGATAGTGGTGTGTCAGGGAGACCTTGCGTGTCCATGAGTGAGCACGTGTGTTCCTGGGAATAAGACTGTGAGTGGGCCACCATGTGCAAAGAGGCAGCACAGAGTAGTAGTTAGGAGCACAGACAACAGAATCCAGACTGCTGGGTCCAAATGCGGCCCCCGCCATTACTAGCAGTGCAACCTTTGGCAAGTGACCTAACTTCTCTGTGCCTCAACTTCCTCATCTGTCAAACAGAGATAATTGCCTCTTAATTCATACGGTTGAGGTTTAAATGAGCTAAGATCACTGAAAAACTCAGAAAGAAAAGATACGTGTGTAATAACGTGACTACAAAGCTGTGCTAGTGTGTGAGGTCACCTGAATTGTATGAACAGGTCAATACAAAGCGGACAAAATATCTTCCTACTCCATCACCACCCTATGTGCTGTGCTCCCCAGGGCTCTCAAAACCTTCTCCCCATCCTCCCTGGGTGATTGAATCATCAGGTTTTTATAACTGTCATCTATGTCCTGCTGACTCCCTCTGCCCCAAATATATCCTCTATATATCCCTCTATATACTCTCTGTATATCTTCTATATCCCCTCTCTAGCTTCACATGTCAGCCTGGAGATGGAAGGCCCCCGGGTGTGACACAGCCACCACCAACTCATCATCTCTACCCACCCACACACGCTGTCCACCGTCTCTCCCCAACAGCACTACTCAGAGCCAGTTCTCTGCCTTCAGCTTCATGCCTCCAGCATATAGAACAGAACCTGACACAAGATTCACTGAATTGGGGGCAGGGAATCCAGAGCTTTTGTTTTAAACACATGCCTATACTTTCCCCTGGTTAACCAAATAATCCCAAATGGCCTTCTCCTCATTAGATCCTTCTGCCCCGGGTGGCTGGATAACTGAACAGCCAGCCAGTGACCAGCCACACTGCGATGTAAGTTCCATAGAGACATGGACTCATGCTTTTCTGTCCTCAGTGTCCGGACAGTACCAAATGGGTACTCGGTGAATATTTGTTGAATGAGTTAATGAACAATGAACAGCATGCATTCTATAACTGTTTATTCTCTCCTTCCTGCTCTATCCATCAGAAAAGAGCTCTGTGAAAATGACTGCAGAGGTATTTAATGATTCCTATGAGACTCCCCCAAGATGACACAGCTAATTAACCCACCAGAACCAAAACTCACACCCATGTCTAGCTGTGTGCCTTTGAGTTGTCTCAGAAGAAAGAATTGGGGGAGTGGGGAGAAGGAAAAGTGAACAAGAATAGAGCAGAGAAGGTGGTAAACTGGGGAAAGAGAGAAGACATCTAATCTCTGGGTTGGACAAGTTTGTGAAATTAAGTCAACCCTTTAGCTTAAATTTGGCAGGAGATGGGCTGACATGGTCCCTTTAAGCCCAGGAAAAACTAAGATTGCAACAGAAGAGCAGCTCTTGGTCACCAGTTGAGGAGGAAACAGCCTGGCTATATTAGGAAACTTACAAGCAAGCGTCAAGAGGCACAGACACCCAGGGGAGGCTGGGAGTGAGGGCTCTCTGGGAAGGATTGGAAAAGCCAAGTGCTAGGGCCATCGCAGCCTGACTCTCTCTAAGACAGGACAGTGCTCTCTGGGGGACAGGAAGAACGCATTGGAAGAGGGAGAGAAGGGGGACCCTGCGCAGTTTTCTGGCTGACAGAGGCCCTCTGTGGAAGGAAGTGCCTCCTGATCTCCTTAGGGCTGGCCCCTCACTTGGCCTTGTAAACACTGCAGGGTTTCCCACTGCCCTCAGGGTCAGGAGCAAGGTTCTCAGCAGCCTACATGGCCTGGCATGGGCTGCGGCTGCCCACCTGTCCTGACTCATCTCGAACGGCTCTCTAGTCACACTCACCTTCCTGCCTCAGGGCCTTTGCACATGCTTTCCTTCCTCTTCTTGGCGTGCTCTTCGCCTCCCTCCTCCCCTGGCCAACTCTATTGATATTTCAAGCCTTGGCTTAAATGTGACTTCACCCAGGAAGATTTCTTGAACTCCACTCCCTGAGTACTGCCACATGGTGTCGTGTCACTCGTACTTCTTGGCACTTTCCCCAGTTGCAGTTAGATACTTATTGTGATCATTTGTTCACCTTTAGCCTTTCCTACCAGACTTTGGCTTTCAAGAGAGAGGGAGCCTTGTCTAGGTAGTCCTGCTATGATCCCAGCATCTAGCACAGTTAGTTACCAGGCCCCAGGAAGCCCTCGGCCAACACCTGATGAATCTGTATCTCTCCTGATTGCCACCCTATGTTCTCTCAGGGGCAGGGACCACATCTTCTTTTCCTCACGACTCAGTACATGGTAAGTGCTCAGTAGTGATTGGCAGTGACTGCCACCCTTGTTCAGGGCTTGAGGCTCAGCAGCTCAATCTCTGGGCGCTACAGGGATACTTATAAAAGGCTAGTGAGGGCCATAACTATGGTACATACAGTCCAGTCCCTCAGATCAGGCTCCTAAACTTAATAAAACCTGCATATCACCTTCTCTCACAAGTGCCCTTCTGGTTTAGTGGAGAATGACCTGAGTTTTAACCCTCACTCTGACACTGAATGGTTTTAAAATAGGCGTAATTTATTTAAACCTGCTGAGCCCTGTTTTGTCCGTCTAAATTGGAGGTAATGGGATCTACTTCATTTGTTCCTTTGAATTCAACAACTATTTGCTGTGGATACTGCAATCTTGGTGCTAGGTGCTGGGGCTACAGCAGTAAATAAATTGACATGGTCCCTGCCTTCAGGGGCTTGGAGTCTAGTGCCAGGGGTCGACTACATTTAACCAACCAGCACAGAAATAAACGTTAGGCAGCCACGGCAGTGGTCCAGAGAGGTGATGGGCTGGGACTCGGCAGTGGAGTATGGAGGGTTGGTTGATCAAAGATTAATTGAACTATATGGGAGGCAGCTAGGACAAAGTGCTCAATAAAGGCTAGCTTTTTAAGAAATATTTTTATTAATTTTTTATTTGATTTCAGAGAGGGGAAGAGAGAGAGAGAAACAATGTGAGAGTGAAGCATCGATAGGCTGTCTCCTGCATGCTCCCTACCGGCCCGAAACCTGGGCATGTGCCCCAACTGGGAATTGAACCAGTGACCTTTCGGTGCATGGGACGATGCCCAATCAACTGAGCCACACTGGCCAAGACTAAAGGCCAGCTTTTTGACAGGTCAGAGTCTTTGCTTAGAGATGCTGGCCCAGAAAGGATTAGCTGGAAAGATGAAAAGGACCCAGGGAGGACTGAGAGAAATCAGAGGGAGGGAATGAGACCGGCCCCCATTTTCTGCCTTGGTCTGCTTCTTTGTAAGAAAGCAGCCTTGGGCCTTGAAAGGCCCAGCGGTCGCTGGTTTGGGCACACCCCTGTCTGAGGGAGACCCACGTGCCTCCATCCTTGGGAAGAAGAAAATTTGGGAGTTTGTTCATCAGTGAGACCTGCCTCCACATCCCCTAAACACACACATTACAGAGTAGTTTGTGGAATCCACATCTGTAGTACAAGACCCAGTCGCCAAGCCAGAGATTATGGTTTAATTGATGTGGATACTGGAGTTTTTAAAAGCACCTTAAGGGATTCTAATATGCCGCTTGGAGTAGAGCTGTGAAACCTCTCCACTAACCTCCAATTAACCAACATGCTCTGTTCCTTCTGTAAAACCTGCTAACTGATGCCCTTAGCCCCCGATGTGCTGGCGGGCAGGCCATGTTCTAATAGTCCTGAACTAACACTTCTGAAACCACATGGAGTTGCATGTTTATTTAAGA